AGTTAGAACTTGTCCGAGATCTTATCAATTTCAATGATCACACTAAGTTTCATCAGAATCGGTTGAAAACTGTAGCTTCAATCCTGCTCACGAACTATTTTTAACAAATTTTGACGCGTTTTTACAAAGTCAAGGGCAATAACTCAATAACCGTTCATTGAAAATGCGTCAAATTAGAACTTGTCCGAGATCTTATCAATTCCAATGATCACACCAAGTTTCATCAGAATCGGTTGAAAACTGTAGCGTCAATCCTGCTCACAAATTATTTTTAACAAATTTCAACACTTTTTAATAAAGTCAAGGGCAATAACTCAAAAACCGTTCATCGAAAATATGTCAAATTCGAACTTGACCGAGATGTTATCAATCTAAAGCATCACGCCAAGTTTTATCAAAATCAAGTAGTAGTCTCTATAGTGCTCACAAGAAATGTTGACGGACGGACCGACGGACAGGGGCGACGACAATATACGACCACATATTCATGTGGGCGTATAATAAAAATGATGGAATAAGACGCGTTTAAGAACATCGCTGGGAGCCGCGGTGGCTCAGTGAGTTAGATGCTTGCTTGCTAACCTGAATCCCCGGCATAGGTCGAAATAATATCTTTGGACTTTTCAACCCGGTTTCCCCCTGTCAGTGATACAGGTACGAGGGGCTGACATGGAAAAAGCGTCTAGTCGTTCGGATGCGACAATAAACAGAAGCCCCGTGTGCTGCAGTCTGTCTATGGTAAAGCAAGTGATACTCAACTGAAGAAACTCGACGTTCTACACATGAAAGCTATACGTATTGCCACCAGGGCAGCCGTAGGTACGAAGAATGAGGCGCTACTTCAGGAGGTGTATCAGTATTTGTACGAAAGCTGTCCAACGTATTCCAGCATCAGAAAATTTACTCGTGTCGGAAATAACCAGAAGAATCGGAGTATTTCTTACGGGCAAGCGGTCACTGATCTATTGAGAGAGCATCAGCTCGATCAAGTAACGATCCTTGAACGACGCCTATCGGCTATTCCGTTTTGGAAGGTTACCAACCCGACAGTCAACACCCAGCTGATCCAGAGTACCAACAAGCACGAGAACCCAGTGGGAGCAAGAGCTCGCGCTCTTGATCTCATTGATTCCGTGTACGCCGACCATTTGAAGATCTACACCAATGGTTCCAAGAGTAGTACCGCAACAGGTTACGGTTTGTGCATCCCAGCAAAGGGCATCCGCATTAGTAAAGGATCAACCAGAAATGGGCCAACATGTTACGGAACCTCGACACCGCAAGATACCAGATTGGTCCGAAGATACCAAACCAAACCAAACCATCCATCTGTAGACATCTGCAAAGTGGCAACCAG